TCGATTTGGAACTAGGTGTGGTTTAAGGAGTTCTACAGGATGTTGATGCTGGTGTTTTTGGCATGCGTCACATTGGTTCACCAATGTATCTATCTCATGGTTTATACCAGGCCAGAAAACAATTTGTCTAGCCCTTCTTTTACACTTTTCATGGCCCATATGACCTGCATGATAAAACTTCTTTTCTTAATTTTAAGGGGATAATTATGCGTTTACCTTTGTAGATGAGTCCTTCATTAATACAGAGTTCATCTCTATAGTTCCAATATGCTTGGAGTTCACATGAGCAAGCTTGACGTTCATCTGGCCATCTGGCTTGGATTACTTTGATTAGCTTTTGCATCGAAGTATCTTGCTCCATTTCATGCTTGATTTCTGTTTTCTCTCGGTCCGATACTAAAGTTGTAGCCATTATTCCCTCAACATGGACTTGTACATCAGCTTCTGTAATGCTGTAAACTTTAGCTTGGTTGGGTAATCTAGATAAAGTGTCAGCTGTGTAGTTCTCTTTACCTGGGACGTAAGTGAGGTGCGAGTCATATCTTTGTAATCTCAGGCGCAGTCTCTCAATACGAGGGGGCAATCATTTAATGGTTTTGAAAATATGGCAACCAAGGGTTTATGGTCTGTGTTGATCTCTACTCGTTGCCCATAGATGTATTGATGGAACATTTCACAAGCTGTAGTAGCTATTGCTAGTGTTTCCAACTCGATTACTGCGTAACGACTTTCCGCATCAGTTAATGCTCTGGAATGATATGGAACAAGTAACCAGTGTCCATCAGTTTTCTGCTCTAACACAGCACCCACGCCACTTCGGCTAGCGTCCGTGGAAATTCTAATAAGTTGTTTTGGATTATACATAGCTAATACTGGTTCACTACACACTAGGTGTTTCAGTTCTTCAAATGCTTTGTCATGTTCATGATGCCATTCCCATCGATTCTTTTGTTCTGAAAGCTTTCTCAAAGGCTCCGTTTTAACTGAGAGATTAAGCAAGAATCTCGCCAGATAATTTACCATCCCCAGAAAACATTGTAGTTTCCTTCTGTTGGTTGGTATTTCCATATTGTTTATTGCTTGATCTGGTTTAATTCCATCAACTGGGATTGTATCCCCCAAGAAAGTAAGCTCTTGAACTCGGATTTCACATTTCTCCATATGTAGTTTTAGATTGTTTTGCCGTGCAACTTGTAAAACTTGGTGGAGGCGCTAATCATGTTCTTCCACATTGGATCCCCATATAATTATGTCATCCATTGATGTGTCGACTCCATCAACATGTTCAAACATTTGGTGTATTGTGCGGTGGTATATTTCTGGTGCACTGGAAATACCAAAAGGAAGACGTAAATAACGATATCTACCAAACTGCGTGTTGAACGTACACAGGTCTGAACTTTCATTGTCCAAGTTTAATTGCCAAAATCCACTTGAAGCATCAAGTCTGGAAAACACTGTAGCACCTGCAAATCTGGACATAACTACTTCTCTAGTGGGGAGTTTATAGTGTCCTCTCATAATGGACTTATGTGCACAACAACCATTGAATTAACCCACTGTGTGGGTCGTTCAACTTTTTGAATAACTTTCATCTGTTCCATGCGGTCTCGTTCGTCTTTAACTTGTTGCTGAAGTAGAAAAGGTATTCGTCGACAGGCATCGATTTTTGGTATTGCATTTGGGGTCAACTGAATATGCACTTGACCAGGTAAGTCCCCAAGACCAGTAAATACATCCGCATAATCAGAAAATATTGGATCACCATTTGGTTGTTTGACTGTAGGTGTGTCTACATTCTCAGGACCTTGTGGTGCTTAAAAGATATCTTAAGGATTCGTTGTATAAGTCCCACTTTTTCACAGCTTTTTAATCCTAGTATTGGTGTGACATCTTGAGGGCTGATAATAAATTTTAGATAATAACTATGACTGTTGGCATGCACTCTTAGAACACACTCGCCTTTCGTAGGAATCTCACTGCCTTCATATGCAGTCAACTTGACTTTAGTTGGCAGTAACTTGGGTTGATCTTTCAAAGTTTTGAAAT